TTTGAGTGAGGGCGCACTCTTGCCTTTGCAGCTGCGGTAACAGAGCACCGGATGCTCCAGCTAATCGAGTCCCCCTGTCATTTCAAGGTGAGCCTCATTTTTCAACCGGCGATTGATGGGCCGCGTGTGTGTGCTTGCGTGTGCGTGCGTGCGTGCGTGTGTGTGTTAGAGAGAGAACACTTTACTGCTCTGTAATCACCAAGCTTATCTCACTCACTCTCTTGGTCCTTTCAGGCAGGCCCTTGCACTGCTTTGTAGGCAATGTAGTCAAATTTATTTATTTTCTGTTATAACAACAAGGTTGAGCACTTTTCTAATAAAGTTCCAAATGGATTCACAAGACGATAGAAACAACACATATACATTAAATTGAACAGAAATTAAAGTTAGAAATATAAAATAAATGAAGTTCGCACAGAGATTGAAACATTTTAAGACGAGATTCAAAAGCAGTAAAAGAAAAAGCATTTCTGATGTCAGCTGTTAAGTCACTTCAGGCTAGAATCTGTGATAAATCGTCACATTTTCTTGAACCAGTGATAACAGTCAGTTTTCCATTAAGGACACATGTTGAAGGATTTAGGACTATTTATTATAATAGTTGTCATGAAAAGCATTTGCCTTTAAAGCTCTGAATAATTCTGTTGTAAATATTTTATTTTCCATTAATATAAATCATCAAAATAAGCTTTAGCATAAATTTTCGATGAAGAATTGTTGAAAAGTTGAAGTGATGACTGGCCCAACCCACAATGATCTGCTCAGTGTAAGAGATGCTAAATTATTAAGACCTCCTCGCTGACTTCATTAAACATGTGTAAAGAGACTAATACGATCAGCAGACGAGCTGTCATCCAGGTCAGTTTACTGACTTCACTACTTCACCTGAATGAACATGAATCTTACCAGAATTACTTATTTACTAAATAAAAGGCCTTTTGTCTTTTACCTCTGATGCATGTTTGCAAAGTGCAGTAAAGCAGCAGGGAAAACCTCTAGTTCTGTGCCAGAATCAGTAGCAGTAGGAAGTAATGGTATGATTTCAGCTCGATAATTAATATTGTATGTCTGCAGAAGTCCGACATTTGCGTGCTGCATTGCAGATACACAGCATGCACGTCTATGTGTCTGTTCTTCCTTTTGTTTCCATAATTGGTCACTGGTTTAATTTCTCCTCTGTGTCATGGTGTAGAATTTATCCCTGCACCTTTTCCGACAGAAGGAAGAAATCCAGTAATGAACGTCAGAACAAGCAGGAAACCATAGCTCAGCTGCTTCTGCAGCGTGTTTTGTTGTGCATTTTAATTGGCTGAAACCGTTTTTTCAGGGACAGTGCACTTTAATCAGCATTTCAACCGAGGAGCCAGAAGTCACAGAGGCTAATGTTCATATCAGAAAAGCCAAGGATCTCATCCAAAGCACAGTGATTCCCTTCACTGTGTGGGGCAGATTGTGTGTCACACTGAAACTCAAGTGTCTGCTCAGTGCAAACAGTGGAAAGTGTTATTCTTAGAGAAGCTTGTAACATGAGAATTTGATGCGGTTATCCTACAAACGCTTGCAATCCAAATGTTTTAAGAGAAACAGAATAATAGAGTATAACTGTGCTCTGTACATCTAGTGCAGCATGTTAATGCTAAATTTACTGACTCTGTCTGCGTTATGAGCCTTTTTAACACAGGACAAAATCACAGGTGTCACTGGAAACATTCCCAATGGCTAAGTTCTGTTCAATTATCCCACAAAGTTGTGACAGTGAGTCAACGTTGGCCCTTAAAACTGAGGCGGCTGAAAGAAACTTGAGCATCGTTCATTTTTAATTGTTTACACCTGCGATCGTGCAACTGGGACATGTCAAATATCTGTTTTGTTAGAGGATGATAAACACAAGGCCTCATGCATAAACCTCCTGGACGTCACAGTGAGTCACTCACTAACGCTGGAGACCCTCAAAACTACGGTTGGTGAGCCAACACTGTCAGTCCTTGCCCTTGGACAAACTCCTCTGAGTCTGTGTGTGTTTGTGCATGTGTGTTTCTGTGTGTTTGTGCATGTGAGGAATCACTGATGCACAAACTGGACTAAAGCAGAAAATGACTTCAGCCTGAGATTAGTTTTCCTCATTAGACCTGTGAGGTAGGCCGGCCTGGACCTGTCAGCCTTAATGATGCCCTAAGCTCTAATGATGATAATTATATTAATTTAAAGTACATTTTAAAGCAAAGGCCCTGAGTCTTTCCACTTTTACCTGGCAGATGTGAACATTTTCAATTGGCATTAAAAGTAATTCCTGAAAGTTTATCTTCAACTGGATTTAAATCAGTGGTGTGATTTTAAAGGATTTTTAAATAATGTATTGGAAATAAAAAGTGTTCATTTACATTTCCACACATTTTCTCACTTCGACATATTGCTTGGGGATAAATCTAGAGTTAGGGTTAGTTTCAAGGCGAGTGTCTCATCAGTCATCTGCCAAAAGTGTATCGGAAAGAGATGAATGTCTTTAAATTGGGATATCACCTTGATATTTTTTTGGTGTGTGAATTAAGATGTTATTGTCAAACTTCTGAGGTCAACTTGCAACATTAACGAAAAAGGAATGATGGCAGAGACAGTAAAAACCCAAATCCACCTCATAAAAATGAATTTTCTGAACAGTTTAAACCCTTTCTAGTCACTTCTTCTTCTCTAAAGAAGGCGATTAGGCCATATCTCAAATTGATTTCTTATTCCAGTCAGAGCGTCCTCAGAGAACCATAAAGAATTCTGTTTGGGTTCATGGTAAAAGCTTGTTTACCTCCAGTTAGGTACATGAAATGAAGAAAGAGGTGAACTATAAGAAAAAGAGTGTAGTATTGATAATTCTATCTGCCACCTTAATTGGTTTGTTTTGTTGTTGGCCAGAGGAACTTGTTTGTCGAGCACCAGAGCACAGAAACAAATGTAAAACTGAATATTTATGAGATATTTGCTGACAAATATTTGCTAATCACAGATTAACATTAGATCTAACAGAGGAAAACAAAGTGTGTGAGTTATAAGAGGCGCTGCAGATGCCCGAGCACACACATCTCATCAGCGTGGATAAGAGTGTGATATGGTCCGAGGTTTCCGCATTTTTTGCTCAAACTCTCCTCCTCTGACTCCCAGTCCTTTTTCTTCCCGTCACCTCATCTTTTCATCCATCTTTTTCACCTGTCTGTGTCCTCCCTCCTCCCTCTCTGTCCTCCTCTATCATTTCATCTTTGTCTCTGCTGTATCGCCTCTCCTGTCCAGGCATCCCATCAAATCTTTCCATCATTAACCCACGATCTCTCTATCTCTACTCCTTCCCCTCATCTCTCCATTCTGTTGGCCCCACTGCCCACACTCCCTCTCCCTCATCCATCTTCGTGCTCTTCTGTCTTTCTAGTCCTTTTTTTTCTTCACCGCAATTCATCTTTTTCTCATCACTTGTTCGCAGTCTGTCTAGTTAAGAGAGCAGCTAAAGTGTCAGAGACTCTTTCTCTCTCTCACACACATACACACAATACGTTTGCATGTACACACACATTTCTCTGACTCTGCCACCCTGTCGTCCTGTCAATCTCTGATAACTGTTATTTCTCTTCCTCTCCATCATCCGTCACTCTTTGTGGTGAAAGGATGTGATTAAAGTCAATCCAGTATATAGAGCCATAACCTATTGATCGGTTTCACATTATACTACATCAAATGACCCTGTGCTGCAGTTGTTGCATTTGTTTGCATGTCTTTTTTTAAAATACCATTAAAATATCACAAGCAAATTTAAAGAAATGACTGCAAGCAAATGCTGGTTGAGCATTATTCTGTCGGAACAAGGAAATTAACTTGGCAACATCCTTGTGCATCACAAACAACCACAGGAACACAACAACCTTCCATACATGCAAGCATCATCACGTCTTTGTAATCTTTCATCCAATAAATGTGCTTCCATTGCTTTAGCTTCAATAATCATTAAAGATTGTAAATATTTACAAAGTAAAATACCTCTTCAATGTTTAAACTGACATTATAAAGATTTTGATGGGAAAGCAGAGTAGTGACGCTTGAAAAAATAACTGAACTCGGACAAATGGAGGAGAGAGGGACAATTGATTTCTCCACTGTTATTTTTGACTTGTGTCCATGAAATGCTTGTGTAACACACGTACACACAAACTGTGAAGTGTTTGCTCTTAACTGCCTTGAGTGCACAGGTCCCACATATCCACACAGCTTCATGTGTGTGTGTAGATCCCTGCACACACTTCTCTCTCTCTCTCTCTCT